CGCAAGCATCTTTCGATTTGTAAATTGTGAATAATAATTTTGCATTAATTCACCCTCTCCAAATTGTAATTCTAATTTTTCTTTTATTTCATTAAAAGTTATTTTTTTTAAATCATTTATATTTAAAAGAACCGTTCGTGCTTTCCCTCTTAAACAGGAAGCCAAAGCTACTGTTTTCGCGGAATCATTCCAACCATTAGCTTGCGATATTAGAGAAAATTGTGCAAGGAACTCTTTTAAAGGCACTGTCCCATCATAAATATCTGATTTCACTTTGACATCACAAAATATACGTTCTCTTTCAACATTCATTCTCGAATTTTCGAGATCGATAACATTACGAGATTCATTCCCAAAAATACTATTATTTGAAGGACTCATCTGTTTATCCAGTTTTTCTTCCAGGCGTTTAAAAGCTGAATCACGCTCCTCAAGCTGTGTTTTTAATTCATTTTGTATCCGTAGCTGTTCTCTCTGATCCTGCTGCCGTTCCTCCCTTAGTTGCTGCAACTCCTGAAGAACGGCTCGTAATGAATCATCTGAGGTAGCCGGCGTCTGAGCACGAGTCCTCCTCGGCGAATGTGCCAAAGCCATTTCTTTTTCTTTCACTTTCACACACAAGCACGTCTACGATTTCTATCGTTATTGATCCCGGACGAGCCCCCAAATGTTGTGCCCGCGCGTGAAAGAAATAACTCGAGATATACTAAACGAGAAAAGCTTTATTTACAGCCTAGAAAAACGGATCTCAATCAATTCCAAAATAATCGCACGAATTCGCTTTACATCCGTACGCTGTGACAGGACTAGAGCGACTCTCTTATTATTCCCAGTTGTTAGTAAACAAACTCCTTGACAACGATAACAGCTGTTCACATTCTCTATATGCCTTCTTCACAGAGCGTCTTCTCCCAAGAGCGTGGGAACAATACGTTCCCCAAAGGTGTGGGCACAACACTATATAAACAATTAAGTTACTAAGGTTTCAGATTAATAATACTTTTACAATCTCATTGTTTATTTAGACGAAAGTATATTCTTAATAACGACAAGATCTTGACATTATCCATTATAAAAGCTGGAATAATATAAATCATTTCATGAAGTGCATCCTTCCCCACCCACATATATATATGTATATGCATTTATTGAATTGTAACTGATTTTATTGTGTATGTGTAGACGTGTGCCATTGCATCGGCATACGCCTTAATTACCTCACTGTGTTACTTGCTATTGTACAATTCCATTAAAATCACCGATTCTCTTGTACAACGAACATATGCCATTGCATCGGCATACAATCCTTCAATATTTTCTACTAAGCATTTTAATTTTATGCAGCATCCTTGTTTTATCGGCAGCCTTTTTCCTCTTATTCGAGCATTTTCTTGAAAGGAAGATATTAAGCATTCATAAATCTTTGTCCTTTTTATTCAGTTACTTAAATCAATTGGTGCCATAACATCTCTTGCCAGAGGAATTTATAGTTCATTAACCATTAAATCTGAATCTTACATTATTAAGCATAGATCTTGCTCATTTTAGGGGAAGCGCTTTACTGGAGCTACCCGCCTCTATCCTTGTCCAGACTGAGGAGCGCCTTACGGGTGCCTCTCGGCTCAAGCATCCTATCCATCCCGTCCAACTCATAAGACCACCCCTTTTCCATCAAGATCAGGAAATTTAACTTGTGAATTAATAACCTGTACAGTGCTTAGCATCCTTCAATCTCAGGGGCGCAGCTGACAGCCGCCACCCGCCTCAATTATCCTTCTCCTACAACCGCATAACCTAACCCTGCCAAAGCATGGTAGTAAGCATTAATTATTAGTACTTTTATAGTACTCTGGCAACGGATAACTAAAGTCACAAGAGTCCTTTTCACTCAATAATAATTTTATCAATTGCTATTTTAACTTGTCCGACCAAAAATGTTATTCTTAAACTCAATCCGTTAGATGCCAAATAAACATCGCGGGGGCGTTAAACAGAAGGCAAGGTACGTAAGGAAGCTTGCCGACGAGCGGCCCTGTTGTCTCAACACATGGACCCCACCAAACCCCGTATAATACAAGATATCACGGGGCACGATCTAGTTCCTCCATCGTACATCAAGTTTTTATTACAAAACAGACTCATAAGCACATTTAAATACGCTCCACGTCCATTACATTCCACACAAAGACACTTCATTCCGGATTCGCATTCTTTACCAAGCTCTTACAGGGCTCACACGCGCAACCCTCGGCTGGTTAAACAGCGTTCGACGACAGAAACTCTAGACATAGAATTGATAGATTTAACACAGGACGACACTTTCAACAAGACAGCCACCTACATTTACCAACTGGAGTCCTATTCTCTCACTGGAACTCCTCGCAAATTACCGTACCACCTTCATTACTTCCACCGGGCAGGATAACTGTACATTCTCTCAACACTTCATTGTAACTCATTACCAGCAGCTATATAATGTAAACCACATTTGTATTCATTAATTATATAACTATAAGTATTATCACTCATTTATATTACACTTTAACTATCATATTGTCTCATTGTTAAATAAACAATTGTTTAGTCTCTATTCCTATAAATAGCCATAATCTTTATATCACCTACAATCACCATATTTCCCCCTTTCACCATCTGTCCGGAAAAGCTCTCGGCATCCCAGGCAGTGCCGGTGTAAGCAGGTAGGCCTAAATAAATAGAGAGCAGGCGGATCACGATCCCTAGGGAGACGCGAGACGTTACACTCCTATAGTTTTTTCATTTAACAGGCGATAGTCTATTACCATGCGCCATCGTTTATTTCCATTCGAATCTGGGTTCTTAGGAACTATCCACAAGGAGAGTTATAAGGAGAAGTAGAGTGTTCGATAATATTATCTTTTAGTAAATCGGTCACCTGCTTGTCTACCTCTTCTTTATGGACGGGAGGGAATCTGTATTGTTTTACGTGAACCGGGGCATTGTCTGTTGTAACTATGTAATGATGCGCGGCGTTGGTGATCCCTAAGGTTTCACCGGGAATGTGGAACTTATCAGCGTGATTTAATACTAGTTTCTCAATATTCCGTGCTTCTTCGCAATTGAGATGAGAGAGACGTAGTAATTGCAAAATTCGCGCGTTGCGAGATGAAGGAGGACCAGTAGCGGGATTCTGTAACTCGTTATAATTATAACGATACATGACGTTATGGTAACTATACCGACTTTCGTCGTGTGTAACGAGATATTGATACCGACTATGCGATTCTCTAACTCAGAATAGCGACACTCTGACGTTGCAGAATGTGGTAACGAAACGTCGTTATTTAATATTGTCGTTATGCGTGGGAAGAAAAGAGGAAATGACGTATACATGTCAAGTTTTGGGGGAAAATTCGTAAGTTGGTATTTCACGTGGAAAAGGTTATGGATAAATCAGTTGATTTGAAACTTATTATGAAGATCCTGGGCCGCACAGACTCACAAGGACAATTCAGACGAGTGAAAATAGAGTTCCGGCAAATAAAATCGACAAATTATCAAAACATGAAAGGTCCGGTACGTGAAGGTGATCTTTTAACCTTGTTTGAATCTGAGTTTGAGGCAAAATGATTCTAACCAGAGATTATAACCAGAGCAGCAATTTTGATTGACGTAGAAAAAATCATTGCCAGGTAATTTGAATTTGATAAGGTTATTATCTTGATAAGATTATTGTCTTGAACAATACTCGAAAGATCTTAGCTGTCACTTATTATTTATTAAAAAGTTATTAACAAAAGAAATTTTGTTTGACTGTTATTTGATTTTTCCTTTTTTAATAAAACTTTCCTTCCCTTTTTTAATAAAACAAGTAGCAAGAAGGTTAGAGATAACTACAGCAAAGTATTAAAGTATAAAAGTGCAAGAGAGTTATGAAAATATTTTATTGTTAATTGTACAAAAGACAAGAAACTTGGATGAAACCAATTGCTAGATTATCTAAGTCTCTTGTACTTTGTTGTAACTACCACAAATCTCCTTATTAAATTGTGTATTTATTTTTTTATAAATATTTTTATATTATTATATTATTATTATTTTTTTATAAATATAATTTTACATAAATTAATTATAAATTAATTTAAAAATATTATTTCATAACAGCAGCATTTTAATAAGTCTGTTCGTTTTCGCTGCACTACTGAATCGATACTATAAGTTACAGTGAGACAAATATAAATTTATATATAAGTTTATATATAAGTCATATATCTTATTGTAATAACTTAAGCGCAATGGCTTCTATATCACAATAAGTATGCAAAATTTTAATAAAATAAATCAATTTCAGGTATAATCTATTACACGTATGCTAATAATTTTTTTTTCAGACAAAATGGAACAGGGATTAAGAAGAGGCAGGCGAAAGCAACGTCAGCACAAATAGATTATATGGTGGACTATTTTGTACAGCATCCACATGTAGCAACAGACAAATTCCAAACTCTACACGGGAACGCAGATTTAAGAGGGTCATGGGAGCAATTAGTCGCTCACTTAAATACTATGGGAAGAAATGGGAAGTCAAAAGATATAAAGTCATGGAAATCGGTAAGTCAATAATATTTAAAATATTATGTGTAATATGCCAGCAAACACAATGTTAGATGTAACGTACATGTTAGTTGTAATTTCCTAATCAACTAAATAACATATAATTGTTATATGACATATATGTTATGTAACAGTTATATTGTTGAGTAGGAAATTACAACCAACATGTTACATCTAATATTGTGTTTGCTGGGATGTAACTACGTTGGATATATTTTCGTAATACATGCTTTAGACATGGCGAGATAATAAAACGGCAGTTTCCCAAAAAGTTGCTAAAATCCGTGCTAATAAAGTTACGACAGGGAACATTGGTAGTCCTCCTATCACACTGACGGATCGAGAAAAAAGATTTTAGGCCTTATAGGACTAGATTATGTGGAAGGTGTGCAATGTCCTGATTCATTTCCAGAGGAACAGGTAGTGAAAAAGTTTTTAATATAACTGTAATCATTTTTCTAATATAAAATATATCTAATATAGAATATTTTTATTAAAATATATTTAGAAATTTCTTATTTCATCATACTTAAAAATTTGAAATCTTTTTTTTTGTTTGTGATGCACATAAAATAATATTGAGTACATGTTTATTAAACAGTATTTGCTTTTTAAATGTTTATTTCAGGGAGAAGCAATGCATTTGCTTACTGCAGGGGACGAAAGAATTTTAAATGATATTCCAGAGTCATTAACATTAAGAAATAACGAGATTATAGAACATGACGTTAATTATACAAGTAACATTTTTTCTGAATACATTGTAAATGTCTCGATAAATTATATGAATGTGTTAATCAATATTGCTCTGAAAATGTATAAATGCAGCACTCCTTACACTTTTTTATTTCAGATTATGAAGTGCTACATGATATGGGAAATGTTATTGAAGAAGGGTCATCTTTCAATAATATTCAAACACACTCACAAATTCAAAATGTGGAGACTGCAGATTGTCATCGTGAAATAACAGAACCACCATCCGCTATTCAAACTGATGATCCACAACGGCTCACAACTGTAACGCAAAGTTCGAGCAAGGAGCGAAAAAGACCAAATTACAAGGAGTAAGTATTGCTATTGATATATACCTATTTTTTTATAACAGCTCAGTTTATATACGTAATATTTTCTTTCTTTGTAAGACAGTGAACGATTGGGTATACAACTGCACAATGCCAGAGAAGATTTTGCGATCCTAGCCGAACGCCAAATTTCATGTATGGAGATAAGATCTATCTGTCATTCTCAGAATATAATTTCTTTGGAAGAAACGTGTTATTAACTCAATGCTTTAAACGTACTTTTTTTATGTTTATTTTTACAGATGTTTGCAAAGGCAATGCAACAAATTGCGGATAATGAAAAAGAGCGAAATGAATGTCTACGTGCCTTTATAGAAGCAGAAAGAAGTAGAGAGACAACATATTCCGAATTATTAATAATAATCAAAGATTGTGTTGAAGTATTAAAAAAAAAAAATCTTTCACATAACTAGTCCGTATTTTGATCAGTATTTTATTCTTTTCTTTTAATTTACTATTATTTTTTCTTTATTACATTTATAGTTTATAGACAATAAGGGTTTTAGTTTGACAATAAAGTTTTTATACTGTTTGCAGAAAGATGTTTATTTCAATAATATAAAATTTTAATATGAAAATAAAGCTTTAATATATTTAATATTATATAAAACTATTTATAAAAAACATTATATAAGATAATGTAAAATTTTAATATAATTCATTTTTTTAACTTTAATATACATGTTCTTTTTTTCGTTAAAATTGTTATCCTTTACACACACATATTTATATAAATATTTGTAATTGAATTCAGACGATGAAACATTTATTCTGAGTCACAAAATGTTTATGGCTTCGAAAGCCATTCGGAATCAATATTCTCATTTAAAGCGTCAAACAATAGGGGATAAGTAAAAAAAACATTTAATCATTTTCAGCAGGCTCTTCATCTTGTGCATCTCGATAATTAGGAAATCTTTCTCTCATAATTTGGCGTTGTATTCTTTGAGCTAAAGCGCGCGGTCCTCTTTGATGTAGATCTTCGTTATCAATGAGCCCAGTATTTTCATATTCACCATTATCAGCAGCTATTGGTGCTTCCAATTCTTCAACAGGCAAACGGTGTTGAATTCTTATATTATGTAGTTATATTATGCATTATACTGCACATGCATTAACTATTTTTGCAGCAAATGCTGGCCTATACATCAGCACACGCTGATAGGAAAGACATCTCCATACAGATTTGAAGACACCAAAAAAACGTTCAACAACGTTTCTTGCCTTACAGAGCTGTTGCGTATAATGAAATTGTAGGGTACTTTCAGGAAAATCGACCAATGGTATCATGAGCCACGGTTCCAAAGGGTATCCAGCATCGCCTAATGAAAAATATTAATATTGTTACGAATATACTGAATATTTCGGGAAATAAATAAAAGGTTAAAACTACATGAAATCTTAATTATTCAAAAACAATGAAAAAATCTTGTTTTTCTTTCTTGTGTACCAAACGTTATTTAGTATTATACGACCGACGTGTGACGGTCGAACAAGGCGTCGATGTGAGCACACGGCTGTCACACAGAATATTCAGTATTTATAAAAATATATAAGATCTTATTACAGTTTTTTATTTTCTTTTGCAAAGTTCTTCGAAGTCCTTATTTTCATAAGGACTGAAGGTTCATAAGGACTAAAGGTTCACTCACCGATCAGCCAAGTTTTCCGTTCTCCTCGATTATAATGAAATTCTATTGCTCGACGAATTGGTGATGTACTCCAGATGTATGAGTCGTTTCGTGCACCTGGATATCGTGGATTGATGTTAAGCAGCTTCATATCTGGATCAACAATCTGAAAGTATAATTAAATAATGCTAGAATTAGACAAAAGTTTTGCAGGAAAACCAATTTATGTACTTCCTAAGTGATTAAACTTACCGCTTGCACGTTCAAAGAATGGTGATCGTGATGATTAATGAACGCCTCTTCATTTTCATGAGGGGCTATAATATGAATAAAAGTACAGTCTATAGCAGCGATAGCACTTTCGAATGAGTAAAAAGTAGCGGAGAATTTTGCACGCGCTTGCTGTCGATTTTCTTCGGTCATCGGGAATTTTACCCATCTACGCAGCAAGCGCCGATTAATCGCTTCAGTTACGGCATGGAGGCAACGGCTTGTTGTTGATTGGCTAACAATCCATTGGAATTGATTGCCAACGCTTCTTTGATAGCTGCCTTGCGCATAAAATTGTATGGCTATCAACACCTGTATTTAATGTTTCAAGATTATGTTTCAATATTATAAATTAAATATTATAAATTATTATAGTTTTGTTCCAATGTTACCTTTATTTCTGGCACTAAGCCAGTAAGTCGTTCATTATGTAAATCAATCCTTAATGCAGCTGCAATGTCGATTACCAGTTCAGGAGTAAGGCGAAAATAGTCAATGAATTCATCTCGTGGGATGTGAAAAGGGTTTTGAGCATCTCTCAGCTGCCTTCTTGCCACACGCCGTTCTAGTCGACGCACTCTTTCAACCACTAATCCTAATTCCCACGCCAAATAGTCAAGGGCCATGTCCTCTTCAAATAAATCAACTTTTAATATACATAAGCTTAAATGCCAAATATGTCGATTTTATGGAAATAAAAATTCTTACGAGTATATAAATAAAAAAATCGAAAGGAGAAGAGCAAATTCATATTAACTTAATACAACGTTCAAAACATTATATAAGAATTAAGATGTAAATATACATTACTTTCTGAAAACCAATTATTATAAACAACGTCAATTTTTACTCACCGAATTCCTTAAATGTTAATTTTTCTTTTAATATATGTTTACGATGTATACATGTGAAGTCCTTCTTAAATGAACACACTCATCACTTCGACACTTCAGACGCTTCTAAACATTTTTAACCTTTAACTTATGGTTTGTTCTTTTTAGCTGCTGAATTGGTGCAATAAGTTAGAGTG